GTGTTTAGCACATTTAGAGTACTTGTCATTCTTTGAAAAGAAGACTACAGCAGAATTGTCACAATAAAGTTTCAGCGGCTTAACAACACTATCGACAATTCCAAGCTCTGAAATAAAGTTTCGCAGCCAATTTCCTTGAATCGTAGTCTCAAAGTAAGCTACGAACTCAGCTTCCATAGTGGATGCATCAATGACCGACTACTTCTCATTTTTCCATGATATAGCCCCTCCAGCTCAGAGAGACATATAGCCAAATGTGGACTTTCTAGTATCTACACATCCAGCAAAGTCTAAATCTGAATATCCAATAACTTCCAAGTTATCAAATCTCTTATAAGTGAGCATGTGGTCATTCATTCCTTGCAAGTATCTCACACATTTTTTGCAGCTTTCCAATAATCAAGTCCTGGGTTACTTTGATACCTGCCCAGCATTCCGACAGTAAACTGATGTCTGGTCTGGTGCAAGTCTGAGCATACATTAAACTTCTCACAAGAGATGCATAAGGAATAACTGTCATTTGTTTTCGTTCCAATTCGTTCTTAGGACATTGCATGAGACTAAATTTTCTCTTTTTTGAATTGGAACGACACTTGCTGAACAATTTTCCATCTTAAATCTCTTTAAAACTTCATTGATATATGCATTCTGAGACAACCCCAACAATCCTTATGACCTATCTCGGAATATTTCAATTCAAATCACATAGATTGCATCTCCCATATCTTTAATTTCAAAATTTTTAAAGAGAAATTTATTACTCTCATGTAATAGACAGAGATCATTAGTAGCTAGCAAGATGTCATCAACATGCAGAATCAAAAATATAAACTTGCTCCCATTGATCTTCAGATATATGCATCGATCAACGATGTTTTCTTTAAATCCAAAGAAATTAATGGCATCGTTAAACTTAAGATACCACTGACGGGAAGCTTGTTTAAATCTGTATATTGATTTCTTTAATTTACACACCATGTGTTCATTTCCTTTAATTGAAAAACTTTCAGGCTAATCCATATAAACTTCTTCATCTAAATTTCCATTTACGATTTTCACATCCATTTGATGTAGCTCTAAGTCATAATGGGCTACTAAAGCTATTATAATTTTGAGTGAGTCTTTCTTGGATACTGGAGAAAATGTCTCCTTATAATCAATGTCACCCTTCTGAGTAAAACATTTAGCAACAAGTCTAGCTTTCTATCGTTCGGTATTACCATTAGAGTCAAGTAATTTAACGAGATCCCAGACTTCATTATGCTCTATAGATTTTAACTCATCTTTCATAACATCTAACCATTTATCAGAATTAGCACTTTCAATGGCCTATGAAAACAAAATAGGATCGTCATTAACAATTCCTAAGTCAAAATCAGACTCTTGCAGGTAAACCACATAATCATCCGAAATAGCAGATCTACGTTGTCTTTGTGACCTACTTACTTCTATTTCTTGTGGTTCATTTAGTGCAGGTTCATTAGTAGCAACATCATTATGAGATGTTTGATCATTTATTTGTTG